ATATTATTTTGATTTTACATTAATTTTTATTATTTAATTATATTAAATATTTACTTTTTTAACATTTTAACATTATATTTTTATTTTATTTTTAGTTTCAGTTGATAAATATTAGGACTCTTGAGCAGTTTTAAACTGTCCAAAATTATGTCCAAAACTATGTCCAAAACTGGTTTTGGACAGTCCAAAATTGTCCAATTAAAAAAACCAATTGGACAAGTCCAAAACCCAACACTGTAATTTCATGATAATATGCAAATTTCCATTATCGTCACATATACCATTATGTCATGCTCCAATACCGGATTTTTCAAGATTAGTTGATAGGCAAGTAAAACTTACGAACAGATAATGGATCAACAATTATCATATAATGGTCCATCATCATCGTTAGCATTAGATATTAAAAAAGCTGAATTGGCTACAGCAGATTTAAGAACTTTAATTAAATATTCATCATTAGTTACGGTGTCTAAATTAGCTAATAGATTAACATTATTTGTTGATAAAGCAAGAAGCGTCGGTAGAGATTTACAAATACTTCAAGCTAGAACAAGAAGGTCTTTAAATAATTTAATTACTTATAATATATTTGCTTTAAAAGCATTAGAAGATGTTAGAGATAAAAAAATTAGTGCAAAAGAATTGGCCAGAGCTTATAATCAAATAATGTCTCTTATTGCTTGAAAATGATTTAAAAAGGATGATTTTAGTTGGTCAAGATGCTCTTGGAAGGTAATAAAAAAAGCGTTATAAGATTATATTGGTTTTTTATATGTATGCTTTTTTATTGATTTTTTTTTTTCTAAAAAAAAAAAAAAAAGCTTAGCAGATTTAGATGAAATGTTGATTGCAATACATGATTTAGCAACACATGAGTCAGCATATCAGAATAAAGAACTTAATAAATTGTTGGCCGAACTATGGACAATTTTTGGGGGCAATAAAGTAAGAAAACAATTATTCGAAGAAATTTAGAATTATTAAAGAATTTAGATAAACATCGCCATACGGCAGTATCACAAATACAAACTACTTTATACAGTCTAACTTCTTTTCAATTAGATATGGAAGAATTACGTGAACAAGTTTCTAGGCTAAGTATAATTGAAATGCCAGTTGAAGTTCATATTGAAAGCATTGGTAAAGGTATTGAAAGGTTAAGAAACAGTAAAGTTGCACTAAAAAGTGGGGGTGATACTAAAATATCCAAGTTAATTGATTCATCTAATGAAAATAATGACAATAACGTTGCTAAAGAAATGACTATTTGAATTATTAGTTGTTAATTCTTTATCTAATTATTTATTCTATTTATCTATTTATTTATTTTTGTATATATTTATTTTTCTTTAAATAATTATTTATTAATATATAAAATATTACAGCCTTATAATTTTTTCTATTTTCTTTTTTTTCGAAGAACTCAGATTGTACAATTAATAATCTAATGAAAATTATTAAATATACTCAAACATTATTATTTTTTTTTTAAAAAAAAGATATCTATTAAATAATAAATAATGAATTCATCTCCATTTCATGTGATCTGTAAAGAAAAGGAAAATTAGTCACATTTTCTTTATTTTCTTTTAACAAAATAGTCATGAAATTATAACAATAGAATACTTACGTGCTTAATTGTGGTTTCTGAGAGTATTTAGTTAAAAGGATAACTCTAACAGAATTAAGCATTTGTTGATATGAAATATTAACATTCTTATATCTATAATCTCTTAATCTGTATATATAACAAATATATAAAGGTTAGAAATAATCATTAATATGAAAAAAAAAATCAAAAATCTTCTTTCACATCTGCAGAAATCTGATCATCTTTACATCCACTCAACGAAATTACATCAGCAAGACTTGATTTATTTCATTTATTTTTTTCTGAAATACTTTTTCCTGATGTTGCCTTTTTACCAAATAAAATCAATCTTGTCTTTATTTCACCAATATCACCTTTTAAATATGACATACTAGCATTCTTAATAGCATTACTACCTTCTGATAAAAAATTTGCTTCTTTCACTTTTCCTTGTATTAAATATATACAAGGTAAATCAAGTGCTATGCCAGAATGGCAAGAATCATCAAATATAGCCATTAATCTTACACCACATGGAAGCGGTTTTACCATTATATCATGCATTATATCATCAATGATTTGCCTATTCTTCTGAAAATCTGATGGCATAATAGTCTTATTGTAACCATCATCTTTATCTCCATTAAGATCTTGTGTTTAGTCTTCATGACCACTGAAATGGAAAAAGAATGAATTATTTGGTCATGCATCATGAACTAACCATCTCATTGCGCTCAAAATATTTTCTTTATTAGGAATTTTTTTGGATCACTTTGATCATCTGTTAAAATGACTATATTAGCTTCTCTAAAATTATATAATTCAATTAAGAAACTCTTCACATTAGCAATATCGTTTATACATCCTTTTAATTCAAATAGTATACCAAAATAATTAATAAAGCTCTCCTATAACCTGTAACTGGTGGTGGTGCATATCCTTTAATAGGAAGTTAAGAAGAAGCTCCTGAAAGAGGTTGATATTGTTGATTTCTTGGTAGTAATAGAGGTCTTTCATAATTTAATTCATATTTAACTTCTGTATACGTAAAAGTTTTTTCAACTTTCTGTAGTGGATTGGTAGGAGAAAAATAATGAGTTTGTTTTAAAAGATATAAAGTATAACTACTTTGTGGCAGAGAATACAAAGATGGAGCATAACCATCTCGTGAAGGTGGTGGACCTGGAGGAGAAGGATAATTCTTTTGGAAAGAAAGAGGACCTGAGAGAGAAGGATAACTTTCTTGGGAAGGGAGAGGACCTGAAGGGAGAATATAACTCCCTTGAAAAGGAAAAGGACCTGGAGAAGGATGACAGCTTCTTTAGGAAGGGGAAGGACCTAAAGGAGGATGATAGCTTCCTTAGGAAGGGGAGGACCTGGAGGAAGAATATATACATTGTAACTACTATCACACGTCAAATGACCAAAAACAGGCAAAAAAAATGGCTAGAATTGCATAAACTATTCGCAAATTTATATAAACTATTTACAAATAGTATAAGTTAATTCGCAAATAGCCAAAAACAGCCAAGAATAGCCAAGAATAGCCAAGAATAGCCACTGCTTTTCATGCCATTTTTTTTGCCGATTTTTAGCATTTTAACCTGTGTATGTCCAGGTGATCTGTAACCATCTTGTGGTGATGGATAATGAGGTGAATAATTCTGTTATTGATAATATGAAGCAGGTGGTAGTTGAGAAGTTAAACCAGAATATCCAGCATTGCTATACTGTTCGTTATACTTTTGTTCTGGATAACTTATTTTTTTATGAAAAAAAAGTTAAATCTCGCTTTTTTTTATATTTTATGTCTAGTTATATAAAATCAGAATAATATGATACTACAGAAACCCTTTTCCTTTTTAGGAAATGCCAAGTATCAAGAGATTGTTTATAGTATTCAAATAAATTTTATAAGTCACGTGTTATAATTATGCTATTTATAAAAAACAAGCATATGAAAGATTTCTATAGTTGGTTTAAGTTATTATTTTTTGTTGAATACACTATTAAAAAATATTTTATCAAAAAAAAATTATTTGCAGTTTAATTAAAAAATAAAGAAAATATATACAAAAAGTATTGGAGAGAAGCAATGCCATTTAAAACAATAAAAAATTTGTTCAGCTGATCTAAACAAAAACTCACTTCGCTAACGACAGTAAACAAAGAAACATAAATTACACATAAATTAGAATTAGAAGTATGAGAGCTTGAACAACTCCCCATAACTTTCCCAAATGACAATCAGGATAACAATAAGATGTGTACACAATAGACAAAGACTAACTATACACAATTAAATGCAAATACACTACCCTCCCAAAAGTATCTGGCCAAGCTCAACTTGATTTTCTCAAGATTGAATATATAAAGTATTATTTTTTTTAAAAAAAAAACAATTCCCCTGGTTCTAACGATTAAAATGAATGTATTTTTATTGTGTTACGATGCTTGTACCAGATTTAGAAATAAAACAAATAATAACACCTTAACTTTGCCAATGCCGATCTTTGCTTTTTTTGTTACTGTGCCATTCGGTTACTTTTAAAATGTGAAAAACTCGTGAATTGAGTGAGCGTGAGAAAATTATTAGCCTTCGGAAAGGATGAGAATTCATGAAGCTATCAATCGTGTCCTAAAATTTCCAAAAAGTACCGTTACAGACACGATTGTTCGATACAAAAATTTTAATACTGGATTAACAGCTAAAAGAAGAGTGAGAAAGAATTCCATCTAAAACTTACATTAATTTAATTGAGAGCATGCCACGCCGAATTGAAGCATGCATTAAAAACAATGGATGGCCAACTAAATATTAATTATTATTAATAAAATATGATCTTTATTGGTTGACCGGATACTTTTGGGAGGGTAGTGTATATATAACAACAATAACAACGTGAAGAGTAACAACATATTCAATTTAACATTTATAGGATACAATATTAATAGGCTGGGTTCAGATCATTCCAAACTCAATTTACTAACGAAATATTACTCAAACAAGGGAGCCAATATAATAGGTATATGTAAAACAAACAGAGATAGAAAACGCGGTGAATATTGAAACAAACAAAACTTAGTATACATCTCTTTTTGGACTAATAAAGACAATAAGATAAAAGGATCTGAAGTGTGCATAATGATTAATAAAAAGTGGGAAACCCACATTAGAAAAATTAGAAGATTAGGTGCATACTATATAGAAGCTTAGTTGTTTTTTAAGAATTGCATACTTATAATAGGTGTAATTTATTTACTACCTTCAGGTGCAAAAAAACAAAATGAGCTCATAAACTATATTAAAAAAGAATCCACTAATCACAGCAAAAAAAACAGGTATTACATTCTGATAGGAAATCTCAATTCATACATGGATAAAACATTAGATTATAGTGGCCTATCCAAACTCAGAAGAAGACCTTCAAATATTATTATGTGGCTAGACAACGCCTTTTTTACAGATACATATAGAAAACTAAATCCTAAAAAGAGATTTTGCCGCCTCCTGCAAATACTGTAAGAATATATGGTCACACAGTAAAATTTCAAAGCTCGAAGAGCATCTTTCAAACTATTGTCCAGATGCGTCAGCAGCAGTTGTTAAAAGGTATATGACTAAAGTAATGGAACATTAAGATAAGTCCAAGTCATCCAAAAAAAGAAAATACTCTGAAGGTCAAAGTAACATGGATGATTACTATGATTCAACAGAGCTTAACAAACAAAGATGTGCACAAATTAATCGTGCATTAGTTAAATTTTTTATTGCATGCAGAATTGCATTTAAAATAGTAGAACATTTCTTTTTCATTAATTTTATAAAAGAGCTTAATGCCAGGTACAATACACTATACATAAAACCAAAATTAATTAATTTTGACCTCTGAAATGGTCAAAATAGTCAAAATGATTTTGACTTGAGCTAAGGTTGCTTGCCAAAACCTCTCCAAAATCCTGCGATAAATTTCGGCAAGATTTTACTATATGTTTACTATAGTTTCGGCAGGGTTTCGGCAGTTTCAGCAAATGGGGGTTTCGGCATTTCGGCAAAGTTTCGGCAGGATTTTTAATATGATTTAATATAGTTTCGGCATTTTCCGTATAGGTTTCGGCAGTTATTAAGAAGGTTTCGGCAAGCAACCTTAACTTGAGCCCTTTCAAAAGTCGAAATGGTCGAAATTACATTATAGTTATATGATTTTATAGTAAACAATAATATTAAAATTCTCCAGTGATTCGATTTTTATGATCTTTACACAGTTAGATTCAGCTCATTAAGAGGATTCCAATGATATGTATTTCACATTTGTAGCATCAATATTGACGGAGTTATTCACGTTTAAAATTTGGTATTAAATAGTCTTATAATTTTTATAGTAAACAATAATTTTAAAATTCAAAGTTAACGATCTCCGCATCCAATAATTCGATTTTTATGATCTTTACGCGGTTGGATTTAGCTCATTGAGAGGATTCCAATGATATGTATTTCATATCTGTAGCATCAATATTGACGGAGTTATTTACATTTAAAATTTTATATTAAATTATAATTATAAAAATCATATGACTATGATGTAATTTCGACTATTTCGACTTTAATTTCAACTTTTGACCTTCCCAAGTTGAAATATTTCTACTTTTGGGCTTTAATTTTGACTTTGTGTATACAATACACCAATAAGGGAGTATTAGTAAATCAACTACTTGAATGTAAATTAGCTCAAGTGAACTTCAAAGTTAATTCTAAACTTGAAAAGAAAACAAATTTAACGTTAGGTTTGTTAAATTAAATAGGCTATCATACGTGATTTTTATTTAATCTTACTTACTATATAATATTAATTTATAATTTAGCCTTTGATGGTTGAACGTCTGGTACATATCGTTCAATTTGAAACTTCATTGTAATGACTCTGTCGCGTAAAAAATATCTTTATCAACTTTCTAATTTGTCTAAAAATTTGCACACTGCAGAATATTTAGTTACGATAATTGAGAAGATCGATATGTGCTGTAGTTTCCAATAATGCAGCCAATGTTCGTAAATCGTAATGTACGAAAAATTATACATGAGAATCATCCAAAGATTGAGAATGTGTGATGTGTTGCACATTTTATCAATTTAATTGCATGTGACATCATCAAGGAGAAGTTTAGGGAACGTTTATTAAAACGTGTTAATATTTTGACAACCTTTTTTAGAAGTTCTAATCAGGCTAATGCAAAACTTGCTCAAATAATTAAAGAAAAAGGAATTAATGGAGGAGGATTAAAATTATATTGCAAGACACGCTAAACTACTGCTAGTGAATCCATAAATTCAGTAATAAATTTAGAATCAGCACTAGAAGAAATGGCCAGTGATCATGATAAAGTGCTAACAAATGATAAAATAAAACCAATTATTCAATCAAGAAATTTTTTTTCAAATTTACGAGTTCTTGGATTTGTTTTGGATTCTCTAAAAAAAGTGGTACTTTCATTAGAATTGAGAAGAGCTACACTTGCAGATTGTTTCTTGAGCTTGGCAAGACTTGCAGCTATATTAAAAAAGTTATCCAAATCATTAAATCCTGCATTCCGAAGTCATTGTATCAAAG